TGGTATATGGAAAACGGTTGCTATATGAAAGCAATAACTAGCGAGCCCTGCTAGGATCTCAAAATAAAAAAATAAAAAAAACTCAGTTCTTTAACAATTGCAACAATTTTGCTCATAAATTCTCCCTTCTTAAAATGCCTGATGCAAACAACAGGCTGCTGCAGATGAAAATAAAAGAATTAAACTGAATATGGCGTTCTAGCCCAAGAAATAATTTAGGTCTGAGCCGAAAGCTTGTGCTCACCACACTCAAGGGGTAAAAGTCAGAGTAGAGCTGAATCTTGGTGAAATTAAGTGAGGGAGGGAGGATGAAACAAACCGATAGCGTGAGAGAATAGAAGTACCATAATAATTTTATAAACAGTTAGCTGATAGGATTGATTTAATTTACTAACCTGATGAACTATAGAAGTAGCTTGACCCTGATTTCGCAACTTTTCCATATTGACAGGAAGATCTAGACCTTGTCCGGAGTCCATAGTATGCATGAGAATTTTCAGTCGGACTGTGAACTTAATACATTTCCAGACGTTTCGCCGGCATCGCCAATGAGCCCTACCATTCTTAGAACCACCCTACAACTCGTCAGAGACAAGTAAAGTCGATTCTTTGACCAATTGCCTGCTAAGCAATTGGGATATCTCGCGTTGAGTCCTGAGGTATTCACTTATGCTATAGCCCCCTATCATCCCTTCAATATCACAACTGATTACTTGTTTACCTAAATTTATTTGAAATGTATTCAAACTCCAAACTGGTTACCACTTCCCCATCACTGTGCCTGGAGTGTTGAACCAAGGCTGCCGTAGAACTATCACATTTGGGGGTCGATACACAAGAGCCTTGCTCACTAAAAATCAATCTCATGCAAGCTGGAATTGAGTTTCTACCTTGTCTAGGTGTCATCAGTACCTCTGGTGAAATTCGATACCGAAAGGCAAGGCTAAATGAAATTCAATGAGGCCTACTCATTGCTTTGTGGGAGAACTTAACTATCAGTCCTTAGGGCAACGTAAGCGACCTAGGGTGGCTAAGCTCTTATCTATTTCCAAGCTTCCAAGATAAATATTGAGTAGATTACAAAAGAGGTTAAACAAAGTCACCGGTCTCATGCTGGAAATTATTATGAATACTATAGAAGAGGACACAGAACTAGAACAGTTCTACAAGGTCTTCCTGGCGCTCCGACCAAGTTGCAAAAACAAGGTCAAACCAACACTATACAGTCAAGGAAACTGAGACCAAACAAAAGGCCACACCCATTTTGGTCTTTAAATCTACGATCTAAATAAGCCCAAGTTACACATTCGGAAAACAAGTAATTTAACTTGAATCAATCCCGGACAGAGAATAATACAATTCACAACAGGCTTATCCTAATGGTTACTCCTATTGCTTTTCCTCCTCTCTTTTAACTGTATCAATTTCAAACGTCTTATAGGGTTACATCAATTAAGCTGTATTTATGCCAGTTTTTTTATTTGTATTTAAGGTCTACACATTTTTAACAAACAAAATGTCTATATTATATTAACCATCGACCCTGAAGTGTACCATAATGCTGCTTTGTCCAAGATAATTAGAAGAAAGTCACGTATCATATGAATCAAGATTAAGGCTTGAAAATGGAGCCAAATAAACCTGTCATTTGAGATAAGATTTCTCCTGAATCAGAAAACGCATTGTTTATTGAATATATGTAAGTCAGTCAAAGGATTATGTCTGCCAAATTAAGATATTTAAGTAAGCAAATCTAATGAATGATTCTAGCTAACCTAAATGCATAGAGGCGTTGATGCCAGGCTAACTGGCCTCGTATGCTGTAGGCGACGGCCGTTAGAAATTCGCCGCCGAGGCCTAATTCAGCACAAAGCCGTTTGGCAAACTCTTCGGGTGAATTGCTAGGTTCAGATAAGTCCCATTCAAATTGGTCCATCAATAATATATTGCCAACATGCACATTTAGCCGGATGATTACTCGGGTATCAGTCTGATCAGCCAGCAGATTCTCGACTGGATGGGCCTCCACCTGTGAACAGATACGATATTAAGGAGTATTAAGCATCGATTTAAAAGTCAAAACAAAGGAAGACAGAAAAATCTGGTTATAAAACCAATCGGCATGGAAAATACATTAGAATGAGACACAAATAAGTTTTTTAATTGGTATCTGCGGCTTATGGCTCAATTAAAACATAAGTAAAAAGCAATCGTAATTTATTCTTATTTATTATATGATGGTTAATCCTAAAAATTCGAATCGAGAAAATATTTGATTGAGCTTAGTTGGCTGTTAAGATCATTAAAGTAGTCTTTCCTATAACAGATTATTTGAAATAAATCTTCGATTAAACAGCCAATTTTGCAAGAGTTCAGCATACTGTTTACTGTGAATCCACTGCTAAGTATAGAAATAAATTGTTAAGCATAGGTATCCTTCTTACTAGGTCTAACGACCAAACCCAACCAATGTAGTGTAATTTGTTATTATATGTGGAAAGAAGCCGGGTTTTTATGAATTCCTGAAAATGTCATATTAGATTGAAATTATACAACTCCTTAGACGAAAAGAACGACTAGAGCTATGTTGAGACCGATAAGAAGATACAAGTCGGAAGGACGTAGAGTAAAAAGGTTTTATAGGAAGGGGATGTTTATGTAGCAATTCTAAAGGGGGATGAGGAAGAAAGGATAACAGAAAAAGTGGTAGCCAAGGTATGCTAGAGTTGAGAGGTCACACTAAAGAAACGCTGTGACCGGATGCTGAAAATAAATGAGTTTTTCAGGTAGTGACATTGCTGATGCTAAATAGGAGTAGTCTTGACTATACGGGCCAAACGACGCAGATGACCCTGAATCAACAAAGCCCTCATTACGAGGAGATCAAACCGATTTTGCCATATTTTAAATGCAGACTCGAATTGATAGAGGAGCAGTGTGTGTGGAAGTAGTATACATTAGAGGCGACGCGCGGTGATCAAAATTCAGAGAGAATGGAACAGTTGAGGATAGGCTGCTGTAAAACAAGCCTCCTTCTTTACGGAGCGTAGTCGGGACCTTCCAGCGGCGAGTTGTTTATGCAAGACACTGATGTAGATGCGACTAAGGACACGCAAGGAATAGAGGGCAATATAATGCAATCACCATAAGGAAGAATGATGGGAATATCCGCTTATGATTATAGCTAGGCGATATACTTAACTTGTGTGATAAATCTGACTGAAGAATCCAATGTTAAGCTCGGCACGGCTGGTAAAAGTGTGGTTTGTCGAGTCAGAATAAATGAGTCAGGATGAAAGATGAGCAGAGTGAAATTTATGCATGATGTCCATGTTAAGCACCGAATGTCAAGTTGCATTCATTAAAAAGCCAGAGAGAATAAGTCCACTCCGCTTTTTATCTGATCGGCTCAATTGGCACTTCATTTAATCAAGGAATGCATTACATCACTTTACTTTGCTTCATATGACAACATGTATCCACCAAATGTAAGCGAACT